GGTGGGGGGTGGGAAGCTGGGGAGAGATAGCAAGGGGAGAAATGCCAGATGTAGGTGATGGGGAGGAAGGCAGCAAATCACACTGCCACGTGTGTTCCTATGCAACAATTCTGCATGTTCTTCACATGTACCCCAAAACCTAAAATGCAATAAAATAAATAAATGGGGAAAATAAATGTCTGTTCATATCCTTTGCCCACTTTTTGACAGGGTTATTTGTCTTTTTCTTGTAAATGTGTTTAAGTTCTTTGTAGATTCTGGATATTAGCCCTTTGTCAGATGGATAGATTGCAAAAAATTTTTCCCATTCTGTTAGTTGCCAGTTGACTCTAATGATTGTTTCTCTTGCTGTGCGGAAGCTGTGGAGTTTGATTAGGTCCCATTTGTCTATTTTGGCTTTTGTTGCCAATGCTTTTAGTGTTTTAGACATGAAGTCCTTGCCTATGCCTGTGTCCTGAACAGGGAGGGGAGTATCACACCCTGGGGTCTGTTGGGGGTGGGGCTAGGGGAAAGGACAGTGGGGGATGGGGAGGTTGGGGAGGGATAACATGGGGAGAAATGCCAGATACAGGTGATGGGGTGATGCAGGCAGCAAACCACATTGCCATGTATGTACCTATGCAACAATCCTGCATGATCTGCCCATGTACCCCAGAACGTAAAGTACACTTAATAATAATAAATTTTAAAAAGAAGATACACAAAGGACAATTACTAGAATAAATTTTATAGTATTGCATGTCTATATCAGTGAAATAAAGATAATTAAGACATTCCATAGAAAAGACATAGAGAAAGGCTTGGAGCTAATAACAGCACTTAAAAGTCACTCTTTCTATCCATCCTCCCAAAAACCATTCAAATAGAAGTGAGTAAATAAATAAATTACACATTTGTGCATCACTGAAAGACAGATAACACTATATAATGAAAGCTGACTATAGGTAGAGAAATATTTTTTAGAAGAAAAGAACTGAATTTCAAAATGCCATAATTCCATGTGTGTAAAGTCTGAAGAGAAAGCTTAGAAAAGAGTAAAGGGAAATAGAAACCCTGCTAGTGAGTCACTACTGTGGCTCTGCTGTCAACAAAGACTATCACCCAAATGACGAAGATGACATACATACAGGTCTGTAGATCCAACGGTAGCTGATCAAGGTAGCCCATTCTTGACACCCAAGTGAACTCAAATGATATCAACAGAGCACCTCAGTCAAGTCACTTATTCACAAGGATTGCTTATTGTGGGATGTCACTGAATTTAAGAGTATTTCTTTTTATCAATAAATAACTGATGCTTGAAAAAAAAGTTCAGAACACACAATAGCTCCTATAGGCTACCACCAAAAGTGTATAACCTGAAGCTCATGATGAAGAAACACTAGACAAACTAACAGTAAGAAATATCTTACAAAACAACTGGCCTGCACTCTTCAAAGATGTCAGTGTCATGAAAGACACAGAATGACTGAGGAACCATTCCAGGGTAAATACACCAAAGAGACATAACAACTGAGTGTAATGTGTGATCCTGGCTTGTAACCTAAATCAGAAAGACAATTGCTATAGTGGGTATTATTGGGATAATCAATGAAATCTGAATAAGGGTTTGTATGTTAAACAGTAGTATGCTTTGATGTGAAATTTCCTAAATTCAGTCATCATACTGTGGTTATATCAGGGAATGTTCTTGTTTTTAGAAGCTACACATTTAAATATTTGGGGATGAAGAATCATGATACATGGAATCTATTCTGAAATGAATCAGTAATAATAATTTATAAGTGTATATGTGTATACATATATTATAAAGATAGATATAAAGAAAAATTACAAACACGGGGCAAAATATTAACTGGTAAATCTAGATGAAGTCTATACTGGTAAATACAGAAGTGAACGTCTTGCTCACACCCGGCGCCTTCCCAGAGTGGCCCACAAAGGGCTACAAAGGCCCTCTTGTTCCAACTCAGGGCAGTTCTGCAGGGCCGTCCAGCCCTAGAACTTCCTGTGTGGTTGACAGAGGCCTCTAGTGACCCATGTCACAACTTGACTTCTTCCTGACCAGTCTGCTTCCTTCCTCCTCCTTTCTAGAGGTGGTGGTCTCCAGAAGACTCCCTCACAAACCTCATCCTACACATTAATCTCTATCTCTGAGTATGCTTCCTGGGTATCCAGCAGTGGCAATTAATATGACCGTTTTACAGATGAAAAAACTGAATCTTAGAAAATCACTTGCCAAAGGTTAGACAACTATTTATTAGTGGAGCCAAGACTCAGACACCAAATCTGCTGACCTCCAGCTTCTCCTCCTTTCTCTTTACCTCTCCAAATTATATCCCTCTGTGAATGCCAAGGTGAAGGCTAAGTCCCTGCTTCTCTCAGAGGCGTCTCAACTTCCCCTTTCTGACCTTAGAGCTCTCATCATCTGTTTGGTTTGGCTCATGGCCATGGTCCCATTTGGGAAATTTTCTTAAGCATCACTTCATATTACATAACTATTATATTGTCACTTAACATTTTACATTTGAAGTTTTGTATGTTCTCTACATTATAATCTCTATGGAGACAAATGTCATTAATTGTTCTTCTTGGCATCCCAATAGTTGCCATCCATAAGCCGAGCATACAGTATATCAGTGTGCAGAGAAAGAACAGCAAGATTTCCTCTCTCTGGCCGGCTTCTAAGACTTTGAAACTGAGAAAACACAACATGCTCAAAAGATACGCAGCTCTACAGCCTTGATCTCCTTTTTGTCTTTTCCAGAATGGCATAGGGACTCACAATATCAAATATAAAAGGATGCAGGTTATTCCAGTAGAGGAGCAATACCATCCATGGGAGAGTAACCCAAACTGCATTAGCCCGCATTAAAAATGTGAGCCAGAAAGTACTTGGTCAATTACAGTCAAGCAACAAGGAGAAAAACAACACATTAGAAATAAAATCATTAGAATGCATCTTGGCCAATTAATTTGGCAAAATACTTTCAATTTAATTATTTAAAACACTTCATAATATGCTAGGAAATGGGGTATTGTGTACTTTGCAAAAGTAATGAAGCCTTAGATCAAAAATTCGACACTACATTGTTAACTTTTATGGGAGAGATAAGCAAACCACTTTGCTTCTCTTTAAAGACTATCAACTGAGAAATTAGCAATGCCTTCTATATTATCTCCTCCAAGCAAGAAGAGGTGGAGGCAGTTTCCCTCTACAGAGGGAAAGATTAATCCAATTTCTGGGATTACTTCCAATTTCTGGGAATCGCTTCTTGACATGGTAATTATGTTAATACATGACCACTCTGGTATAGGTAGGACTAGAAAACAATAAATACATAAACATATTAACAGCTGTAGGCTTGGAAATCATTTTCAGTATTTTTTTCTCCTTTGCTTTCAAACATTAGCATGGATGAGAATATGCTGTGCTGCAAGAATACTATAAGCGCAAATCAACTGAAAAATAATTCTTGCCAAACTTCCCTAACTATTCAACCAGCATCAATACAAGAAGCAGATTTTAGAGAGGAGTTTCTAAGTTGGACCATCTTAGTCCCAGGTATTTTGCTACAGCAGCACAAATGGACTAAGACAGTATCACATGACTGGGTCACACACTGGTCAATATGCTTTAACACTGCACCTTCCTAGGGGGCAGACAACACGCTACTTACTCCCTCATGCGTTTCATCTTGGTCCTGGCCATTGCACTGTTGAAAATTGTTGGTCCTGGGGACATGTCTGCAGCCATGCTGGTGATGGTCTTTGTGTCTGGGGACATGCCTGCAGCCATGCTGGTGATGGTCTTTGTGTCTGAAAAATCAATGCAAAGCTCTCATTGACTTCATCAGCAATCCTGCAACTTCGAGGCAATGTTCAAGGGCAATCAGAAAACAGAAGTTAATCCACCTTTGCCACATGGTAATGCTACATTAATGAATTCAATTACAACATGCACATTAAGATTTATTCCCAATGACAAGATTATTTACAGTTTTACTATGCACAAGGCATTCCAGGACAAAGCCTCTCTCACAAATGATTGTTTAAACAAAACACCGTTGTTTAAAAGATGAGCTTTTTATCCTAGAAAACTCAGGGGGAAATGTATCTACAGAAAAGCAAGTGCTCCTGAGGACCTTTTGGCCGTCTCTTTCAGCAGATATGGATGTTTGACTAAATGACTAGGAGTTTTTTCAATAAGCTCAGTTATTAAAAAAAAAAAAAAAAAAAAAAGAAAGAAAGAAGAAGAAGAAGCTAAAACTGGCCCATTAGCAAGAGCCCAGGGCAATCCATAGAGCTGGATTTACAATTTGGCTTCTGTGCTGCTCTTTCCTCCCTGGAACTGGGGCCAAGTTCTCCCTGTGCACTTCCTTGGATCTCTCATAAGGTGCTTCACACCCATTGGTACAAGACTGCCCACTCTAATGATCATTTATAAATTATATCCATGCAGTTGCAATGTCAGAGAGAAGAGACTCATGTTATGAAATTCCCTTTCTTTTCTCAACAGATTTCACCTAACATCTGCCTGCCTGACTTAGGGACCCAGTAAAGAAGCAAGGTGGAATCCCCATTTGATATATCAGTAAAGTTTTTTCTTCTATTTTCTAAATATGAAAAGTTAAGTGCAAATTCTAATGTGTCTCACATACACTCTCCTTTTGCACTACCTGTTGAGGCATGAATCCCACTTTGAACTTCTTGCTCTTATAGATATAATTGACCTAAATATTCTCCAGCTTAATTCTTTGCCAAAGTCTCTGATCTTTCCTTAGACTAAATCCTTAGATATAAAAATACTGGATTAACAGGTACAAACTTTGTAAAGAGCATCATCCAGATCAACACTGTGTTGCTCACAGTAAGTTCACTAGTCATGCCTTCATGATAAAAACACAAGTACCAGTGACTGATTGCTTTTCTTTCTCTCACTCCTGGAGACTACCCCTTCCACACCTGGAGAGGAAAACTGCCCCATCCCTCACTGCAACTTTCTGTCAGCTCCAACCTTCCCACTAGCTCTGGCCAGGACAGATACTTTTCCCCAGGGAAGTTTGGGGAGTGGGCAAGAGGAAGGCATAGAAGTTTATTTCATATTCCTGTTGGTTGCTTTTTACAATAATCTTTCCTAGAACCTGAAAGGTTACCAAAACAACACCAACCATACCATACCAAAACACTCACATGCAGGCTTAAAAATCAGTTCTGCCAAGAATAAAAATAAGGTGCTCCTTTCCCATCTTTTCCAGAGCGAGCAAGTTCTGAAGATTTATGCAAACAAAGGTCAAAGCAATTTCCAGGAGAGCTGCAATTTGTTTTAAGCTGGCTACTGTTCCTCTCAACAAGGCACTCAGCGCTGCTAGGAAAGATGCTAAGCCTTAAGCCCAAGGGTAGAAAACAGGGCAAGTATGATTTCAAGCAACAGGAATGGCAAAGCTTGGTGCTCAGAGCAATTCCCTTTTCAGTGTTTCTTATGGGCCAGCTTACTTTCTCTCTGCATCCCATCTTCCAACATAAACAGTTTATGTCAAAGGAAAGGACAATCACAATAAAAATAATTGGTGCTAGAAACACAGATGTCCTCCAATAGGTCACTGAATCCCAGAGTGTGTTCTAGACCACTGCTTCTCAAACTTTAATGTCACACAAATCATCCAGGGATCTTGTTAAAATGCAGATTCTTCTTTAGTAGGTTTGGGTAGGACTTGGGATTCTGCAGTTTCCATAAGTTCCCAGGTGATACCAATGCTGCTGGTCCTCCAACCACGCTCTGAGTAGTAAGGCTCTAGAGAGGCCAGCTACAAAATTTGTGAGGTCCAGTGCTAAATGACAATGCAGAAATCCTTGTTCAAGAAACAAGAGGATAGCTTGTTTTTTTGGGGGGTCTGCATTTCTCTTTGGACCTGTCATTGTGCTTTTTGTTGGGTATTTAAATGCCATTCTCCCCCAGGATCTAGGACAGATACTCTCCAAGGGAGTGCAGACACTTACAGGGACCTGGCAGTCTTACCTCACCCCAACCTTTCCCCACTATTACCTAGGACCCCACTGGGAATGGAGGGTTGCAGTGGTTATGGGGTGGGGATTAAGGAATAGGTGGCAGAGGAATCTTCCCAGGTAGATGTCTTAAAGGCAAGAAGCACATGAGCAAGGCTTTAAGCCCTGGGCCTGTGTTCCATTGTCCTACCTGCTTCCACTCATAGAACACAAATTCAAAGATAAAATTTGTGAAACCCCATATGTAGGCTCCTTTCTGAACCTGGGGCCCTGGGTAACCACACTCGTCTCATGTCCATGAATTCCTGGTTCTAGAGCTCTGCTTTCTTGAATCTTTGCTTTCTGAAAAAAAAGCTGAATCCTTAATCCCAATGTTAATTTTTTAAAACTAATTTTGCCCTTATTAAAATACTAGTAAGTCAAATGCAATAACATGAAAAAAGGATAGCACACCTTTCTTCCTAAGATCAGAAACAAGACAAGAATGTCTTCTCTTGCCACTTTTATGTAACACTGTAGTACAGGTTAAAGACAGGGAAATTAGGCAAGAGAAAGAAATAAAAGGCATCCAAATAGAAAAAA